GAGGGGTGACGTAGGGAGTGTAAGTGGGAAGGGTGGGGGGTTGTCAGGTAATAATGATTTTAAGCCATTATGGACGAACAGTACCTTTTACGTGATATATGTCCGTCTGTCTTCCCCTTATTAGCACTGTGCATTCCTAAGAAAACGACCCACTTTGCACTTCATTTTAATTCGACTCTAATATGCCGGGTACAAGTATCTTATGATAATCACGTGAAGGAGAATGAAATCTCGTATTTAAGTCGAGCAGTTTTAAATTGAAATTATGAAACCTATTTTTAACAACGTTGAGCGAATTTAAACAAGTTATAATAAGAGAAATTCTCGTAGTATCGCAATGATATTGTAGGCCTACTGTTTGTCTTGAAAAACCTGAGGCATAAGCTGGGCTGAAACAAAATTCAGACAACGAAACGATCTTCAGTCTCTCAGTACTTCTTCTACAATGCAATAACCACTAATATTTCAGTACCACAGAGCTAAAGTTAAAATCTCAGGATTTGCATACTCACCTCGGATCAGTAAAGGCCTACAGTTAGACAGCAAGATGAGGAGGGGGATGAGCGGTTTTACAAAGGAGGAAGTCGCCATGTTGTTATGTCACGCCTCCACGTCACAGCAGGCGGCTGTGAGAGCACACAACGTGACAGGCATGAGACAAGCGCGGGAACGGGGAGACGTCTACTTTTTGATCTGGACCAGAGGGCCACACTCTGGTGTGAGTCCCATGACGTTCACAACGGGCTTATGCTAATCCGGACAACAGGTTGAACATTCATTTACACAAAAGTTGTGTAATCTAGTTTAAAATTTGGGACAGTGTTGTGATGATGTTGACAAAAACGCAAGGGCGGTGGTGGGAAGTGGCCACTGGAGCAGGCTCGACTGTAATAAAAGGAACAGTTGGAGTTATGAATTTGTTGCGTCAGTGTTTTACCTGTTGGCCAAGTGCATGGATTGGAATGGCATAGAGGATTCTCGTGAATGTCCCAGATTTATGACAGATTAAAATTCACTTCCTTCCCCCCGCCCAAAAAGTGGAAAGTAAAATAAAATTATGTTCTTCAAAATACACTACAACTTTTAAATCTTTTCCTAACTACCTTTGAATGGGCAGAACAATATTGGCAACCGATTTGTCTAGTATCGACATGCCGTCATTGTAGCAGCTTTGAAGAGCGTACACATATAAGCCACTTCCCTCTTGTCTTCCTGATTTGGTACACACAAATCAAACTTTACACGTAACAACTGGTTCTCCAACACACCCCTACTATTACACCCCCCTCGCTCTATAGAAATAGCAGTAAACCAACAATACGAAAGAAAACTACATTATCCACAAGAGCGAACGACCATTATCTAATGATAATTCGAAAATTGGCCAAAATAACCCTATTAGCGGCAATTCACTCTAGTTTCGCTGCCCACAAATCACCTCTTGGATTTCATGTAAGAGCTGCACGACATTTGAAAATTCCACAAAACGCCAATCTTTCTCTGGGAACCAGGTTACTCAGAACTTGGGATGGTAGAGTTAGATAGAATTTATTAGACATGGCAAGTCATTTTGACCACCGACAAGTTGGTCCCATTATAAGTCTCCGTGCCGATGCAAACGAATCCACGAGTTATCAGTATAAATAAGTACTCAATTCTCATTCAAACCCAGGAGGGTTACGTTTATGACCACAAGCACAAAATGTCCAGTAAACCGACTGTTTTATCTCAAAAAGAGATTATTTAATGAGTTTGCAGGATGGTTTTTCACAAATAAAATTGTGAGTCAAGAATTATATCGCCAGTAGCCAAATGTAGACGTTTGAAGCATCTTAAATTACAATAGTCTTGAATGAGCATAATTGAAAAATGAAAGTCTTCAAAATTAACAATGTTAACAGAAATTTATGTACTTACCTTATCATGCTGAATATAACGCTCGTAGCTGTGAACTCAAAGTTAAGCTTAACTATAGTCGGCGCAAGTAATGAACTCCCGCCCCC